GGGGGGCGCGGAGAGGATCTTTTACAATGCAAACACAATCTTTGCATTCCGAGCCCATCATGCATGTATTGGGAATGTTTGTTGAGGTTGCATGCAGATTTTTTAGCAAGGGTGCTGGCGCTAGAGTTGCTTCGTTTGCTGGTTCGTTGGTTTTCGCTCGGCTTCCACCACGCACCCCTTAAACACTAAATCTCGAATGGAGTACCCGGAGTACCTATGAGCATTAAGAAGCTGATTGATGTGGGAGCGAACTTGGTCAACAAACGGGCATTCATGGCAACCTTTCGGGTGTTCATGCCTAAACAACGAACACCCTGCGCAATCCAGATTGCTCAACACGCGCGTCACAAAATTGGTCCCAAAACGACGTAAATCCACACAGACACACACACGCTGAGTGGGCGCACACCACGGCGGCAACCTGAAGGGTAAAGTGGGACCGGTAACGAAGCAGCGGCCGGGCCTAGAGCGGCCATTTAAAATAGTGCGCCGGCCGACCAGCACCGGCCGGCCGGCCGGCCGTCGGACCACTGGCGGAATTTGCATATTTTAACTCACGCGTTCGCACGTCGGGGGCTTCACGCACTAACACAGAGGCACAAACGGGCGCACGCACACAAGACGAGTCGGTCCTAATTTCCTGGTACCGCAACACACACACGGACAGACGGACAGACGGACAGACGGACGGACGGACACACACACACACCAGCATCCCATATCAACCTGCGCCTGTCCTCCGCTGTAGTTGTCCGCGGCGCGCGCACGCATGCGGGCCCTCTGCCCTTCCTGTCCCCCGAGGGCACACGCGCGCGCGCCTTTCCATCTCCCCTCCCTCCCTGACACACACACACACACACACACTCACACACCCGCTAGCCACACCCGCTGCTCCAAACTCGATAAAACGACGTTTAAAATTTGTCCTACGCTCTACGCACACAACTGGGTTACTATGGGTTTTCGCGACAATGTTCACAAAAAACCTTGCCATAATTCATACCCCTTCATTGTGGTGTCAAAATCTGGTCTCTTTCGGGGAGAAGGGCACTTATTGCTCAATGCACATTCGCCAGGCAAAACTGCAGCACCCACATGGCAGAGGAATAGAAAGCATTGCATCGAAAGAGCGGGGGAAGGAGTGCGGGAAAACGCGCGCATAAACGCTCGTGGTCATAAAAACATTACATCTATATCACGCCTGTAAAACACGCCGGGTGTGTGCTATCGTCTGCGCCGTATAGCAGATAATATGCAACGCTCTGGATGGGACAAACATATACAACGTACATATTACTGCCATCGTCCAAATATGGACCATATACTGACAATCATACGACGTGCGCGCAGTAAAACAGAACTTCACTACATTGTATTTATAATTTTATTTGTCGGCTAAACAGAAATACTTTCTGCTCAATCAGCTCTACAAAAGCAAAATAAAAAGGTAGAATAAAAATACACCTTAAATTAGAACACCAGCGCTGGTGTACAACTCCTTTTTGCGATGTTCCCGTCCTCTGGCCCTGCGAAACTCGCAGGAGGAGGACTAGATTAAAATGATGATGATAGTAATCATAATATCTAGCCGGCTGGCTCCTCGCTGCCTGTGCCAGGCCACGCCATGCCACGCCCCGCGTAGCCATAGGCCATAGGCAGGCCATAGGCAGGCCATAGGCAGGCACAGACGAGGCCGGTTGACCTCGAGAGAGTGGACCAGCGCAGTGAGCGAGAAGTACGTTTGACTCGACTCGGACCGGCGCCGCAAAGTTATAAACGCTCGATACTAGAAATACACGGCAAAACAAAAACAGCCCGTCAAGTCGCGGGCGGAAGGGATCATAATGTGCCGGGAATTTAGGGTCAATTAAAGAGCGATTAATCGACTGGAAGGAGTTCGTGTACTGTAGCGAACGAAAGACAGAGGAAGGGGGAGAGACGGAGAAAGATAGAGAGGGAGAGAGATCTGAAGAGGGGAGGGGGGGGGGGAGAAAAATTGTCGTCTAAAAGAAGACACATCAAAATAGGCTGGATGCTGCTTTACTGTATGGGAAATTATGTAAAATAAAAGTTGAACGCTGGTGTGTTTGAATCCAGAGCGCGGAGAGCGAGTAACGGCGGTGAGTGGGGGAGGAGGGGTTAAATCCGGGTCCATTCCGCGCGACCGGCCTAAGGCGCTAAGACGGGGAATGGGAGGACTCCGTCAGGACGGCGGCAGCGATTAGGAGCTGGTTGGTTAGAGCCCCCCTCCGCCCCTGCAGGGCTCGGCCGGTCCGGCCCCGGCCCCCGCCACCGCGTCGGCACAAAGGCGCAGCTTTCTGTGTGAAATATCCATCACGGAAAGCGCGGCGCTCACTTGCTCGTTTGTCTCGGCGCGGCGGGCTCGGTGGTGTCGCACACCATCGCAGCGAGAGCGGCAGGAGGGGAAGGTGAGAGACAAAAGAGGGAGGGAGATAGAAGAGAGGGAGAGAGATAGAAGAGAGGGAAAGAGATAGAAGAGAAGGAGAGAGATAGAAGAGAAGGAGAGGGAGAGAGATATGAGAGATAGGAGAGAGAGAGAGAGAGAGAGAGAGAGAGAGAGAGAGAGAGAGAGAGAGAGAGAGAGAGGGAGAGAGGGTGGCTCTAATCCGTTGTAAATCGTCAAGGCGCCGCCGCCGCGCAGCCACGCGACCAGCAGGCAGACAGGCGCAGGGCAGGCACAGCCTCACCTCCTCCCGCTGCAGCAATCAAATCCGGAGCCAACTAATAAAACTGGACGCGGATGAGCCGGGAAGGGGGAGAGAGTGAGTGTGAGAGAGGCGGGAGGCAACCGGAGAGAGGAGGGAGCGAGGCAAAGGAGAGAGGGAGAGAAGGGGAGAGGAGACGAGGTAGAGAGAGGAAGAGGAAGGAGGCCAGCCCACCGGCTCCAGGCGGTAGCACTGCCACTTTCAGCGCCTGGAACGAGGAAAGCTCTGGCGGGGCGTGGCGGGGCGTGGCGGGGCGTGGCGGGGCGTGGCGTAGCGTGGCGAGGCGGGGCCTGGCGGGGCGGGGCCTGGCGTGGCGGGCCGGCGCCACCGCGGCGCTTGCACCTGACAGGAGGTATTGCAGAGATGAATGCGTGTGGGGAGAGCTGGACCCCGTCCCGTCCAGTGCAGCGGCTCCAGCGGCTGCAGCGGCTGCAGCGGCGCCACACCAACTGGGTCACCAACCCGACCAACCCAGAGGCTGCTGCACAAAGTGCAGCCTGTGCTCCGCGCAGCTCCGCGCTGCTCCGCCCATAGGAGGGCTCGAATAAGGAGCAGGTCCCCAGGTCCCCGTCAGCCTACAGGCGAGGGAGGGCGCAAGGTCGAATGGGTCGATGGTAGAAGATGATGTGTGTGTGTGCGTGCGCGTGTGTGAGCGCGCGCGCGTGTGTGTGTGCGTGTGTGCCCACGAACAAGATTTATTTTAATGCCTTCATTAGAGGCCCCCGGTCAGAAGAGGTACGGGGGGAAAGGGAGCGGGACACAGCTGATGACGTCCAGCCCGAGCCTGATCCCTTGTCGACATGAGCATACACCGGTGCCGCGGGGCGGGGCGGGGCGGGGCGGCGCGTATAGTAGTGAGTGAGGTGGGGCGGGGCGCGCATGAGCGAGGCTTCCGAACTCAACCATTCAGCAGCGAGGCGGGGCGGCGACTTTGAGGCGGGCTCAGGTCAAAGGCGCAGCGCGGGCGGGGCGCGGCGGCGCGGCGGTCTCGTAAGCTTTAAAAAACGACACAGGAAATGTAGCGCGCCGTAGCACCCCATCCACGCGTAGCAGCGTGGCACAGCCGCCGCCGCGCAGACAGACACGCGAGCGGACCCTATACGTCAGACGCCATTTGATTTGAGAGGGTAGCGGTGGAGCAGAGGCACGGCAGGGCAGAGCTGGGCGCCAGAGACGATAGGGTGAAGGGCCAGGGTGACAGTAGCAAGATAAACAACAGGAAGACAACAGCTGAATCGACAGATGAATAGCGCAGCTCGCAAGTGGATACCCACCTTCTTTTCGAAACACATGCTTTACTTCGAAATAAAATAAAATAGGCAGAACTTAAAGTCTCAGTTTTAAGCATGGAGATT